ATTAATTTTGTTTTTAAAGTTACCACCGTTCAGCAATTTGCAAGGAAAAACATCAATAATACTAAGCTGCAAAAATAAAAAGCAACTGTATCGTGTGTTAAAACTGAGCAGATAATCCATTCAATGGCATTGTCTTAATTAAAAAAGCCCTCTGGAAGAGTTCCATTTTAACTTGCTTCTGAAGATCTAACAAGATCAAAGCAAACAATCTCTTGTACAATAACATAACAGAGAAGCAGTTCCTCTTAAACTCAGCGTTTATACTATCCTGGTAACAGGGGATTACCATCAGTTCTTCCTGGGTTATTTCTATCAGATAGTTTGATTCTGTTTTAAAGAAGCAATCCTCCAGATACCTCAGCACTAAATTATAGTAGGTTTTATAGGTTAAAACCATGGTTTAAATTGCATCCATAAACCTATTAGCAGCCAATGAGTAGCTCACCACAGAGAATTAATATGTTAATGGCATCTAGTGCTAATTAGCATACAAGAGCCTGCATTGATCCTGAATGGTCTTCTAAGCCCCACCACCACCACCACTGTTCCTGCCTTCCTAGCAAAACCTTATGAGGCACTACAGAAAACAAGAGATATTGTCTCCCAGTCAGCAAACACAGGAAAGGTCTGTGGTGTTATATTATTATGAATCATTTACTTTAAAAAAAAACCTTGTCTATTGATTTACAATGCTTGGGTAAACACAACATACCTTGCTGGCTTTTTTTTCTCTTCCAAAACAGTAATTTGCAGTTATAACTTCTCTGGATGCTATATTAAAACTGCCATTTCAAGAGTTGAAATGAAGAGCCATGTCAGAGCTTAGTGATATATATACTTCCAATAGAAGTGACCTACAGCCAAAGAGGTATTACATGGGCTGTAATTGTGGTTTTAATACACAGAGTCCAAGCCTCTTCCATTCTAAGTATCACTTACTGAAACTGGTAACTGATCCCAGGCTCCAGAAAGAAAACCTCTAATCCAGTGTTTCTCAACCTTGACAATTTTAAGGCATGTGGACTTCAACTCCCAGAATTCCACAGCCAGCAATGCTGGCTGTGGAATTCTGGGAGTTGAAGTCCACATGCCTTAAAATTGTCAAGGTTGAGAAACACTGCTCTAATCCATTATAACTTTTCCCCCCTGTTCAAATTGCCAAAAGAAGAATTACAATGGAAGAATATAAAAATGTACATGAACATATAAAGTCTTCCTTGTGGGACACTGCTGGCTCTAGAGCAGGGGTCTTCAAACTTGGCCCTTTTATGACTTGTAGACTTCAACTCCCAGAATTCCTCAGCCATGCTGGCTGAGGAATTCTGGGAGTTGAAGTCCACAAGTCATAAAAGGGCCAAGTTTGAAGACCCCTGCTCTAGAGAATGTTTATATGGCCTTCATTTTGGCAGCCAGCTGTAGCCATATAGCATCTTAATGTTCAAAGCTCATTACTTAAAAGAGACCCAGTACTGCCTTCCTTACCTAACCACAAAGCTAGCAGAGCTTCACATCTAGCTGTCCGTTTATCCGATTCTGCAGTGCAAATTTAACACTGCACCAGGCATGTTCTGTGAAAACAGAAGCTGCCTTTTTAAAATCAGTTTCCATCCATTGCTTCTTGTCCTGCCTTCAGGTGCTTTGGAGAATAGCTTGACCCCCTCCTCTTTGTGGCCCAACGGAAGAGAAGCCAGACCTAAGCATGATGTCATGTGTCTGATTAACGAAACACTTAAAAGGACTTTCAGGCATATTTTCTCCTAAAAGCATTTATTAAGGTTACAGAGACGTCAGTACAGCATGGTGGAAATGCTTAGGTCTGGCTTCTCTTCCGATACGCATATACATTTTAAGCATTCCCCCCCACTTTTGGGGTCATGGTTTACATCTTCCAATCAGCTTGGAAGATGTGATTTACTTCCGGTTTCTTTTTCCTGGGCTATCCTTATTCTCCTCCCTTTTCTCTGTTGCCTGGTTTAACTATAAAAATGCCAGACAGTTCTGCATATTGTCAAAGCAAGAATATACAGTATTTGCAGCATTGACAGCCTTGCCTTTAACCCTCGAAAGTCGACCTGACTTGAAAAATCTTGAATTAAAATGATCAATTGTTTACCCAGCAAATCAACAATAACAGGGAACATTCAAGAGATGCGCTTTTGTGAGGCTTCAAATGTTCTGTAGGAGAGCATCACTTCAGTCCATCGTCTACAAACCAGGAGCAAGAATACACAATGGTGTCTTCTGGAAGCTTCACAACCTTAGCGCCACTGCCAAAATGGCCCTGTTCCCAGTCACAATCCCAGAAAAAATTAAAGATCTTGAAGAAAGGATCCTGACAATCTGACCTTTAATAGGTAACTGAGCCCAAACTATACTCAGACACAGCAATTTCCTGTGAGTCAAGAAGCCATATATTATTCTGTAGTTATAATGATTGTTTTATTTTATCATTCATCTGCTTGTGAGACAAACTGAAAGTCAATTGTGTTGGTGCAGTGGTGGTGGCTGTGCAACATTTATGTTACCATATTTCCTCTTGAGTAAACCTTGGAGAACTGCATGCTAGGTACAGTTCCTAAATATTTTTCCAAGCCTGAATGGTTATGGTTTGAAGACATTTTCCTCTCCAGAGAAAAAAGTGCCATTGCATATTACTGAAATCACTGGCCCTGCTGGTTATTTCTTGACCTGAGCACCCAACAGCAAGGTGGAATCCCAAAGGACCTAGGAGATAAACCTGAATCTTCAGAAAAGCAAATCTGTCTAACCAAAGAAATACACTTATAGCATGAATAAAATCATAGTGTAATTTATAATTGATCATAATTTATGATTAACCTAATGTGTTTCATCAGTGATTTAAGGCAACTCTTTAGAACCCCCCCTTCTTCACTAAGACACATTGAAAAGCCAGAGCTTGATATGGCTAAAGCTGGCCTCTTTTAGATGTGCTGGCTTATGGGTCACATTGGGCAGAAATTCTGAAAACTGCAGCCCAGCACATCTTAACAACATGGTCTGGCAAAGGCTGATGCAAATGTTAACTATCATTTGAATCAAGATGGAAATTCTGATTATATTCTGTATATTGCAGAATACAATTTTGGTTCCACTGTGGTCACAGCAAAAATGAACACTGCACTATCGGTAATCCTCGAGTTACGACTATTTGCTCAAAGTTATGGCAGCATTGGTACTTAAGTCTGGTCCTCTAAATTACGGCCATTACACCATACCCATGATCACATCATCAAAATTCAAGGGCTTGGCAGCCTGCCCACACTTATGACTGAAGGAGCACTTCAACCTCCCATCTGCCGATCTCTCTCCCCATCTCTGCCCTTTTGACTAACCTGCACAGTGACACTCCTTGGAGGCAGTGGCAGCAGTGGGACTGAAACAGAGGCTCAAGGTCTTTAGCAATTCCAGTCAGCTGCCACTACACATGAGCCTCTACTTCAGCCTCTGTGCCAAGGGCGGCCTCAAGTTGCTCCAGCCACCCCTGCCCTCTGCATTCTGCTCCTGTCATTCTGCCAGCCCTGTGCTCTACTGGCCTTGCCACCCTGCTGTCCCCAGTTGGCACCATCTTCCTCTGACTGCTGATGAGGCATGCCCAGCCTGTCCCTCAATGAGGCACCTGCTGGCTTTATCAGGCCTTCTTGCAGAGGGCGCTTGTCCTGTTCTCTAAATAGCATAGGCCAGTGATGGCGAACCTTTTAGAGACCGAGCGCCCAAACTGCAACCCAAAACCACTTATGCATCGTTGGGTGCCGGGTGGGTGTGGCCCATTGGATGGGCCTGCCCATTGGGTGGGCGTGGCTGTGGTGGTAACGGCAGACTGGGTGAGACTAAAAAGTTCAATCAATCAATTCCAACTTTGCAAGATTTTTTTTCCCGCGAGAAGTTGAAATTGACTGATTGATTGAACCTTTTGTTTTTTTGCACACGGCAGCAGAGGCCTAAAGCGAAAAGGTTTTATAAAACCCAGCTGAAGGCCTAGGACTGGGGCGACGGCACGCGTGCCCACAGAGAAGGCTCTGAGTGCCACCTCTGGCACCCATGCCATAGGTTCGCCACCACTGGCATAAGCTATTCTCACAATGCTTTGGAAGACTTCTGGGGTCTTTTCAAACCTTATGAGAAAGTGACACACACCATGCTCCAAATCACACGGGCTGTTCTCACAAGGACCTGCACTGTTTGGAGAGCAGAATGAACAGCGTCAGGAAGATGGCGGGACTTGGCCAGCAGCTACCCTGAATAGGGCCAGGCTGGGCCCGCCTCATCAGTAATGGGAGGAAGATTGCAAAGATCAGCTGGAGGCAGTAGGGCAGCAGGGTCAGTGAGCATAAGGTGGCATAGCCAGCAGAGGTGATGGAGTGCAAGGTGGCAAAAAGGGCAGAGAGGTGGTATGGGAGAAGACAGATGGGTGTGGGGAAGAGGAGACCGTCCCTTACCTTACCAAGGTTCTGGGCTGGGAGGGGCTTGGATGGAGGTGGGTCTCTGCCTAACAACCGGTGGGATTCACTTAATGATAGCAACAGGGAGAGCTGGAACTGCCATTGCTAAACAATGCAGTCATGTGACATCACATTTTATAACTACGTTGCTTAACAATGGAAATTCTGCTTCCAATTACCATTGTAACTCGAGAACTGCCAGTATGTATTATTAGTACATCATTTTGTAGCACATAGCTTATGTATTTGCTCAGTTCCCATTGAAACAAACATACACAAACAGAGGGATGTCCAGAACATTCCTACATTAGTACCCTCCAGATGTGTTGGTCTCCAGTTGTGCTGATCAACACCACCCCAAATTCCCCTGTTCCTGAGAATTGTAATCCAACATATCTGGAGAGCAGGAAGTTGGAAAGGGTGTTCTACAGAAATTATTTAAAAGCACTACAAGAGGTATCCAGAGTTGCATCAAGAAAGAATAGAATTCTACTAAAAAAGTGCAGTTTAAAAACTTAATTGTAAGAAACTTGCCTGGATAACTGGGTTTGATTGAAGATCCCACGGAAAGCACTAAAAATCCACAGAACCAGATACAGGCATTATTGGGCAGTATTGGGCAGTATAAGAAGCTATAAACTGATTTATAAAAATAAAAAAGCATGACTAAGTTCCATCCATTTTTCTCCTCCTTTCTCTAATGTTCTCTCAAAAAAAACCCAACCCACGTAGATTTACCCTGTATTTAAAATGCTAAGTAGATGTAGATAAATAAGGATAACCTACCTTGGAAATGTCAAAAGAATGCTGCTGCATTCACTTCAAAATGGATATATATATATATTTGAAAAAAACATCAACCTTTGGCCAAAAGAGCTTTGATAGCAGCACATATTTCCTTTTGTCATTCAAGTCTGCTTTAGTTCATTTGTTAAATTATTAAAATGTATTTCACCTGCTTAGGTAATTAGCATGTTATGGGCTCAGTAGTGCAGGTAATATGAAGTCGTTATTAAGAAAAAATGATATTGTATTCCAGCCACAGGTGCTGGTAGGCCCTTAAGGCAAAGAAGAGGGATCAGAAAAGGTTCTGCGAGACCTGGTTTGCCTCTGTATAAATTCTGAGCCCTTCCCTATTGTCATTTTACCATCCCCTTAGTAAAACAGCCCACTGGAGAGGTGCATGAAGGTCAGACAGGGCAGGACAATTGTCCTGCAAGGAGGAATCTTAAAAGGATGGGGAATAAGTATAGAAGAGGCAGAATATTTAACATTTAACTGCCTTTGGCATTGGTTGCTTTTTTTCCTAGTAAGCAACTGGGGTAAAACAACTGCCAGCTTGCTTCCCTAGCACCCAAAATCAGAGCACTACTGAGGCTTGGAATATCTCTGCCCTCACCCACCCTGAACTAATTATGTCTCAGGCCCAGGCACTAGGCCAGTGGTTCTCAACCTTTTTAATGCCACGACCCCCAACCGGTCGTAAGTCGAGGACTAAACCAGTCGTAAGTCGAGGACTACCCAACCGGTCGTAAGTCGAGGACTTTCCCTGCCTGGGAGCGCCGCGCATGCGTGGTTCCGCCCCCTGTGCCAGCCGAGGCGTAGCTGGCAAGCGGCAGAGATGGAGCAGGCCGACCGCCAGCTGGCCCAGCCCAAGGGAGGTAAGGCACCCGCCGGAAAAGGGGGAAAAATGGCAGACAGCCTTGCTTGGCGACCCCCGTGAAATGGTCGATCGACCCCAAATGGGGTTGCGACCCATAGGTTGAGAACCGCTGCACTAGGCATTGGCTGCACTTCTCTGGCACAATATAAAGCTATGGGCCAGTTGGAGAATTGAAAGCTTTAGATTCATTTTCTGCCCTTGCTCTGCAGCACAGAATAGGAGAGCTTCCTCATCCTGGTGCTTTTCAAATCTGCTAGGCTACTATTCCCAGAATTCCTTGTTCCACACATATCAGCCTGCGATCACTCATTGATTCTAATTCATTTTACTAACATAAGCCATTTGGGCTCTGCTGTCAAAAATGGATTATTAAATACTGCTTTCCTCTTTTGTGTTTCTATTCCCTGGGTATAGGACCCTTGCATTATGAAACAATGTTGTTTCAGTGAATAATATTTTTTTTTAAAAAAACCTCTAAAATGGCTGATTTTGCCCTTTTTTCAATTGGCCTGATCCATACAAATACTTAGAAAACAAATTATTATTTTAAAAAAAGCCTTTAATGACTTCCAAGTTAAGCTTGACTCCTGGGAATATGACTACATCCATGTACTGCAATGGTAAATAAATGACCTGCTATTGTTTTAAACAGTGGGATGTTGGGTTTTTTTCCCCCCAACTTTATAGTACAGCTGTCAGCACTCTAAGCAATCCAATTCTGCTTAATTTTTCTCAAGGTTAAATACAACTAAGTGTTATTACTGGTGATAAAAGATTGTGGAAGAGCAGTATTATATGCCAGTCTTGTGTTGGGGAAGTCTTTCTCTTTACTATCCTTTGTTACCACCAGTAAACCCCCCTTTGAGGATTTATAAATTCTTTCAGTCTCTAAAGGAACATAACTGGAGAGAATATAGGGAAGGTATAGGTCAGGGGTAGGCAACCTTGGCTCTTTTGTGACTCGTGGACTTGGCTGGCTCAGGAATTCTGGGAGTTGAAGTCCACGAGTCATAAAAGAGCCAAGGTTGCCTATCCCTGGTATAGGTTAAGAAAGGGTCATGTTTACTTATTTCTTCTAATTATCTAGAACATCAGTTAGCATTATATTATCCTGGTTTTAACATTATTCTGAAACTGTCTCTCTGGCAGAGACAGAGGCTTTCAAATTTGGTCTCTGAGCCTCCTCCAGGCCTGTTCTTCTGAATGCACTTCCCTTTTTATCTGGTTCCCTCTTCCTGGTAGACTCTCATCTGGAAAGGGTAGGCCCTCTTTGGTGATAAGCCAGTTTGGTCTAATGGTTAAGGCACCAGCCTAGAAAGCAGGACACCATGACACCGCTTTAGCCACGAAAGCTACCTGAGATGAACATCTAGATCAGTGGTGGCGAACCTATGGCACGCGTGCCAGAGGCGGCACTCAGAGCCCTCTCTGTGGGCACATGCGCTGTCGCCCCAGCCCCGCCTCCCACACGGCACCCTCCTCACCAGCAACCCCCCCAGAGGAGAGTTGCCCCCGGGCGCGGTCCACATGGAGCAGCGGAGCCAAGGACATGGCAGCCGGGCAGCAGGGACAATACTCTGCCCTCGTGCCCCATCGCGCGATGCTGCTGCGGGCCGCGGGCGGAGGGCGTGGCCATGGTGCTGCAGGGCCGCCTGGGCAATCTGGGTGGCTCTGTGGGCGGACGGGGCAGAGCAGGGGGCGGAGTAGGTGGGTGGGTGGGGCAGTTTTGGGGCACTCGGTCTCTAAAAGGTTTGCCATCACTGATCTAGATCTAAGAAAGGGTGGCTAGAGACAGGAAGCAGATCGGAAAGGACTTTAGATTCTTTGCTGGCTGATTTTTGAATCCCAACTGAAGAACTGTCATGTTGTATAATACATCCTGTATTTGAGCCCACTGAGCCAATTCAGGGGCATTACTCAAAAGTCAAAATTTGGGGTCAGTTCTAACATTTTTTTTCTAACTGCAGCTTGTGTAAAGACCGAAGGAATGGCTTTGAAGGACAGGACAAAAAGCCTGCTACCAAGACAATGGCCAAATCAACAGTCCTGGCCAAGAAATTAATTTGCGAAGATTTCGGACAAGTAAGTCCTTTCCTAGCTCACGTGAGGGGAGGGGAAACACATTCAGAACTTGCAAGAGTCTGTCACTACAGCAATTACAATAAAAATCCTATATGTCACTATTTATTTAGTCTGGTTTACCTTATACAACTAACCTTGGGGATGACTAAAATATTTCTGACATTTAGCTGATTGATGACCAAAATAAAGAGACTTGGCTTGATCTTTAGCAGCATTTCATTATTCCCTTTTTGAATGATCATTGAAAAAATGGGCTAACTCTTAAGCATGACAGAAATTACTTAATGAGGAACAGAGGTGACACCATTTTGAATACTTCAAATAAGCATTAATGGCGCTCAAATTTTGCAATTCAAAATGTTATGGGTTATTTTAACCTTATTAAACATATTTTATGAACAAATGATATAAAAAGACTATTATTACATTTTATTGTAAGTTATTGTTATTAACAGATTATTAACACTTGGTGCTAACTAGGCAGAATTAGGATTAAGAATAAGCCACATAACTAATCGATTGAGGGTAAAGAATAGCTACTTTATTATCACTTTTTATTTCAGGACAATCCTTTATAATATGAGCATTTAATAATGCCTCGTTTATAGTTACAGGAAGTTTCCTATCAGTTTTGCCTGGCAGTTTTAAACCAAATCCTTGTAAAACCTTTATTACCTCCAGTTCCTGGCATTTAGGAGAAAAACTAATGGCACATTTACACAAGAAAACCATTTAAAAATAACCAGGGGCTAAAATAGGACAGAGTTTTCAGAATTGTTCAGTTCTCACCTGAAATTTCTCACCCTGAGCTCTGATACCATTAGCTAGCTAATACTCAAGTTTTTTTTAATCTAATGTAAATGGCTAGATCAGTGTTTCTCAACCTTGACAATTTTAAGGCATGTGGACTTCAACTCCCAGAATTCCACAGCCAGCATTGCTGGCTGTGGAATTCTGGGAGTTGAAGTCCACATGCCTTAAAATTGTCAAGGTTGAGAAACACTGGGCTAGATGGAGCACCCACTTAACAAAAGGTCTTGAATCCTGACCCTTTAGCATCTCTTGGGCTATATATCTTTTCATTTCAATGACTATGAAATCCCAACTTCAATTTTTGGCATCTCTTGGTAGGCTTGGGAAAGATCCCTGCCTGAAAATTTGGGGAGATGATTCCAGTTAACCACTGGATATATCAGGCTATGATTCCCAGAATTCGCAGTCAGCTGCAACACAATACAATATATTATATAGTGGATTTTTTCATGTATCCCTGTGTCAAAGTGGAAGAAGATTTGGGTCCAAATTCATCCAGGAAAAAACTAGGCTACTTGAATGTCCATAACTGAATTTAATGAAAAGATTATGGGTTTTCCATCTCTCAAAGGTTTAAAAAACTTTAAAGTTTGTCCAGCCTCTTAAAAATCACTCTTCGAGGACAGCTTAACCAGTTTCCCTGGATACTGCGGTGGGTTGGATTCTTTATAATTACTTCAATGAATTATAACCCCAATTACACCTTTAAGGTATTATTACTTACACGCAAAAGGTAATTTCTGGAAGAAGAATCCTTAATGTAGTTTACATTTCAAGTCATGAAACCGTAAGTGAAAACAATTCACCACAAATCACTAGTGAAAACAGGTAAAACATTCATAGGTCCAACCTGGGCAATCACAGGTGGGGAAATGTGTGTTGAGATGGAAATGCTGCTTTTCTTGTGTGCTTATGTCATAATGCTACTGATTACCATGTAAAGGGCAGAGTCTGTGTTGTGACATCACAATAATCAATTCATCATTTCAGCACCACTGACTTTTATAGGATTTGT